GGTGGCCTCTGCAGCAAACTAAAATTCCTATCTCCTGTCTCCCTCCATCTCCCTTTCCCTCCCTTCACCTTCTCAGTCAGTTGCCTTGAATACGTTGATAACAAATAATGGCGCCACTTTCTCTTTCTCATTCAGTTTTCTGTCCATGGTGAGCCATCTTCTCTCTCTGCCTCTGGCTTGTACCTGCCCTGGCTGGATCAGTAATGGCCTCTTTGTTGCTAAAACCAAGGGGCACTTTTACTCTTCTTACCTGACCTCTTGGCTGTAATTGACATTCTCCACTATACCCTTATTTTTGAAACATGCTTCCCCCCAACTCTTCCATTTTTCTTCCATCCTTGCAGGCTCTTATGCCTGTGCACATTTCTTGGCTCTTGGTCACCCTCAGGGTCCAGACAAGACTGCCTGCTCTTCTCACTCTCCATTCCCTCCAAGGATGAACCAAACACACCTGTGGCATCCACCCATCGCCTCTTCAGGTACCAACTCCTAACTTGCTATGTCTCTCCTGATAGTCCATATTCCCAACCACTTGTGGGACTTCTCTGCTTTGCTGGCTCCCAGATTTCAGACCTGGTATGTTCAAACTGTATTGAGAACATTTCTCATCCCAACATTTCGTATCCCATACATATGGTGGCACTGTTCACTGGTTGCCCAAAACCAGAAACCCGAGAGGAACCGTTGACTCTTTTCTCATTTATTCTCTATAACCAGTCAGTCCTCAAGTCCTGTAATTCTGTCTCGTAAGCTTCCACCACATCTTCACTAAGTGGATTTTGTTCTTTCAGACTTGCTCTCCTTCAGACCATTCTTCATACTGGAACAAGCATGGTCTTGCTCTCCAGTGGCTCCTCATCACTCTTGGAATAATGACCTGACTCTTGAACTTGGCTGACAAGGCCATACATGATTTGGTCAGTTCTTACCTTCTGCCTCTCATCTCACTCATTTGCCTCCTGAATGTTCTTAGGTGTTCTTATCCCCTCAATTTCACATTATTTATTTCTTTTCTGCTGCTTTATCTCAGACTTATCCTTAGGACCTAAGTTGAGATACTTCTACTCAAGTCTTTCCTGGGGCCCAAGCATAGTTAAAATGTCCTACCTACAAAAACCCATAGCACCCACCACTTATTCCTACAAGAACATTTATCTCACTCTATGGGGGACACAGAAGTAAAGAGAGTGTGGGTTCCAGGGGGAAGAGGGAGCATGGGAAGGGCATTTTCTTGTTCTTTGTTGCCAGCGCACTGGACATAATGTCCTGCCCACGCTAAGATGCTCATTGTACATCTGTTGAATAAATAAAATGAACTAACAAAGAACTCACCAAGTATTAGAGTCTGTGTTCTCTTCTTATTTTCACATAGCCATTTGGATGCTCTTGTGCTCCTGCAATCAATCTTTAATGAGTTCTTAAGGCATGCCAGATGTTTCTTGAGAGGTGATTTGCTCTAGGTAAGACAGCCAGAAGATCTGGGTTAGGGTTCTAGCTCTAAGTCCAGGGCCCTTCCCATCCTGATTTTAGTGTCAGACATCAGCATGCTTTGGTTCTACTCGATCCCATCTTCATTCATTCCTGGCCCGATAGCTATTTCCTCTGGTCAGTTCATTTTCAAATTCAAGGAGGCCTGAGGGTATGGGAGAGAACAGATATTCTATTCCAAAAAGTCGATTCAGTGGCTGCTCTGGAGAGTTGGGATCTGATGTCAAAGAAAGTCAAGGGTTAAGGAAATGAGAATTTGTAAACTTATATCACCCATTTGGGTGGCAATGGATTTGTTAAACTGAAAATTCATTAACCCTTGAGCATAGTGTCTTGTGTTTTTGCCCATATGATGGGGGTGATGGCTCTTCCCAAAAGGGGAAAGAGCCAGCATATAATGAATATTCACTATGGGTCAGGAACTGGTTATATCTTCTTGAAATCCTATAAAATAGGTATTTTGCCTGCTTGAGAAAAATTCTGGTAGGGGAAGTGACCCAGGTTATACAGTTAGGAAGTGGCTGAGCTGGTTTCAAAATCAAAGCTGTCTGGGCACTTTGCATTGTGAATTCTGGAAGCACACTGCCTGTGCTTGAATTTAGTTTTGTGACTTTATTAGGATGTGTAACTTTGCAAAGCCCCTCTGAGTTTTCATTTCTTAAATATGAATACTAAGTTTGGAGATTCCTTAAGAAATTGAAAATAGAACTACCCTCTGACCCTGTAATTGTACTACCAATATTTACCCCAAAGATTCAGATGCAGTGAAAAGAAGGGCCATCTGTACTCCAGTGTTCATAGCAGCAATGGCTACAATTGCCAAACTGTGGAAAGAGCCAAGGTGCCCTTCAACAGATGAATGGATAAAGAGGATATGGTCCATAAATACGATGGAATATTATGCCTTCATAAGGAAGGATAAATACCCAACTTTTGTATCAACATGGACGGGACTGGAGGAGATTATGCTGAGTGAAATAAGTCAAGGAGAGAGAGTCAATTATCATATGGTTTCACTTACTTGTGAGCATAGGAATAACATGGAGGACATTAGGAGAAGGAAAGGAAAAGTGAATTGGAGTAAACTGGAGGGGAAGACAAAGCACAAGCGACTGTGGACTCTGAGAAACAAACTGAGGGTTTTGGAGGGGAGGGGGTGGTAGGTTAGGTGAGCCTGATGGTGGGTATTAAGGAGGGCATGTATTGCATGGAGCACTGGGTGTAGTGCATAAACAATGAATCTTGGAACACTGAAAAAATTAAATTAAATTAAAATACTTCTTGCAACATTTGTAGAGAGATTAAACAATGTAATACCTGTAGAGCATATTTCTAGACATATTAAAGGTGATATATCAACTGCCATCCTCATTACCACCATCACCGTCATCAGCATCATCTCCACCACCCCTGCCTTTGGTCCATCTGCTTGCCAGTAAGGTAGATCCTTCTGGGCCGTGATATAAATGGGTACTCAGAGAATTCTTCTTCACTTGAATGCTCTTTGGAATTTAACAATTGGTCAAGGATGTTGGGTGTATGGCTCAGGACACATGCCGGGTGGGACTGAAAGCAGAGTTGAAACACAGCAAAGGCAACCAACGCTATGTGATGGATAAATAACTCAGCGGGTTAGCTGGGAGGCCGCCGTAAGGACTGTCCCACAAATAAAGTTAATGCTTCCAGGGGGAGATGGTAGCTTAACTCGGCGTGTTTGGGCATTCTACCCAGTCACTGCCAAAAACAGACTTAAATTGACTAGATAAGATTTAGAGTAATATTTAGAGTACACATCATCGTGTAATAACTAATGTTTTGTGAGCTCTTGCTAAATGTCTCAGAGAATTCTGTGCTAAGCACTTTGTTATCTTATTTAATCTTTGCAACACCCCAGTGTCGCAGATATTTTTATTATTTTGATCTCACAGGTGAGGCCACTAGGGCTCACAGTTAAATGTTAAGTATGATCAGTGTTCTCCAGCAAGTAGAAGGAAAAGCTGGCATTTGAATCCAGGCTGTCTCCAGACGTATATATCTTTTCTTAACTATCATCATGAATACCTTCTCATCCCTTCACTCCGGGTCTTCTTACCAATCTTGGCTTTAGGTGCTTAATTTTGTGGAGGACCTCAAGCGTCAGTCTTCATTTGTGTTCAGACTCTATTACCCTGAGGCAGATTCTCCAAAGCAAAAGGGAGGAAAGGAGCAGTCTCAGATGGATATATGCTCCTGAGGGCTGAAGTCTGGTTCTGTTCTTTATTTTTGCATGCAGAACATCTTTCCACTTGAAACCAGAGGCTGGCAGTCTCACAAGCTCTTTGCAAGGAAGCCAGGCCAGATTCCTCCTGGAGTGGCTTCATTTCTCTAATGAGAAATAGATTTAATAGTAGCAACTAGAATTTATTTTAGGCCTTTGTTCTAAGAACTAATTAAAACTTCCACTTTGCCTTGAACTAATTCTAGGATCCTTATAATTTTTTAAATTAAAGGCTAGAGTGTCCTGGACTACGACATCTTTAGCAACATTTTTGCCCAAATTCTTTCTTTTTTTAGAAAAAAAAGGTTTTGATTTTCCAGCATCCTTCTCTTTCAGACTTCTACTATCTCATACACATGGTTAAAAGGACTCTTAATACCAATTGTACTAAAGGACTAGAGAACGCAATTTATTCCTAACAACTCCATTTTCCTGGTGTTGACTTTCTAAAAAGGAGAGTTCTGGACCATCCAGTTTTTTCAAATCAGAACTTGGGAAAAAGATTTGAGAAAGGGGTTTTCTTGACACTTCCTGATTCAAGAGGCACTCTGGAAGATTTAATTTTTTTAGGTTAATAGAGAGAGCATGGCAAAGTATTCTGGTTTTTCCAGGACCCACAGCCTCTGTGCATATTGGTTAGGGAGAAAATTGTGGCTGGGTTTCTCATCCATTATCTGTGTCCATGTGTATGTATGCGTTGGGGGAAGAGTGAGGTGCTCTGGGAAAGGTAGTGTTAGTTGCAATCCTTACAAAGAGATGAATTCTCTATTACAGGAGAATTCACAGGTAGAATTAATAAGTAACATAAGAGGAGGTAATCTGGAGTCTTTGAAGAATGGTTTACATCAGGAAGAATTGCTGGACACCACTAGTAGTGTCCTTCTACTTTCCTTCTACTTGTTGGAGCCTGGGTGCCAATTCTGAGATTTGAGAACTATTTTCCTCCAATCCTTCCTTCTCTCCTTTTTCTTTGCTATTGTTTATTTTTTTTTTAACCATCCATCAGAGATTTTGCTAAACCCTTTATGCACATGATCTCATTTAATTTTCATACAAGCTGATGAAGTATGATTGTCATCTCCAATTGACCAACAAGGAAATCAAGGCTTATAAAAATTAAGTAACTTGCCCCAGATCAGAGAGAGGGAAAATCAGAGCCAGAATTCAATCCCAGGTTTCTCTGGTTCTAGACCTTGGCCTCTCGGCCACCATGTCACTGCTTCTTCACTAAATGTTTTCTGTTCTTTTTTCCCAGGGACAGGATGAGAACTTCAGTCAATGTTGTGGGGGACTCTTTTGGGGCTGGGATTGTCTATCACCTCTCCAAGTCTGAGCTGGATACTATTGACTCCCAGCATCGAGTGCATGAAGATATTGAAATGACCAAGACTCAGTCCATTTATGACGACGCGAAGAACCACAGGGAAAGCAACTCTAATCAATGCGTCTATGCCGCACACAACTCTGTCATAGTAGATGAGTGCAAGGTACCTTTCCCCTTCATGGATATTGAGACCTGTATATAATAGTGCATGCTCGATTTCCTAAGACAAGCACAAAAAATCCCTGCATGTATTATTGTCACATTTATTTCTCTGAAGGGTCATGTAACCCAAGCTTCTGTGAGTCCCAGATCATCTAACTCTGTGTCTAACATGCCAGGAAATCATCAGGTCTTACAGTGGGAGAGCCGATCACTTGCTTGGTTTGTCCATGTGATGTAAAACAGTCATTCTGATGCCCCCTCCCCCAATCCAATGACTCCACAAATGTGATTGGTTTTCTTGAACATTTTGCCGAAGAATTTGTGGTTTCTAAAGCTTTGCTGGATTTCAAATATTCTATTCCTTGCATGAAACACCAAGAGAAATATCCAGAATCGCTTACTTTACATAGCATAACTATTCCTTCTTGCTGTATATTAATTACGTATTGGTCAAAAATACACCCACCCAACTTTGCACAACTATCTTTCCCTTAATTATTTTCGTGAGAAGGTGAGTTTTGAACTGGCAGTCATTTTGCTCCAAGAGTGGGGGAGCTATTTCAAGTAAAGGACAACCGTACTTCAGGACAATTATCCATAGATAACCACGTTTCCTACAGTGGCAGCCCTATCTTTCCTGAATCATGGATATTCTGGCCTCTTTCACAAGCTGCTGGGTACTAAGTCTTCAAGCTTGATGGGTTCTGTCTAGCCTTCATTGTAACTAACTTGACATTGTCAAAGACAGAGTGTCATGACCAGAGTGAAGCAAACTTGGAGAAACCCTGGCAGGTGAGCAGAGTCAACTCTGGGGGCTGGGTTACTAATAAGGTTCCGGGAAGCAACTGAGGGTGATCTGTACCCGATACAGATTTCTGATCCTTTTTGACTCCTGTTGACAAGATCTCATTTAATACTTAATTTCTTCCTGGGTTTCTTCTGGGTCATTCCAAATATAAACCATGGCTTCTGCTGGACAATTAAGGGTAGCATAGGAGTGATTCTCTTAATTGGACTGTAACATAGATCCAGAAATCTAATGGACCAGCAACAGTCTTTTGGTCCTCTCCTCTATATCAGGTACATGAGTGGATGAGCCGAGCCTCTAGTACAAATTAAGGAAGGACTCACCCATTAAGAGACAAATGCAAAAATTAATTGACTCAATGAAAATGATTCAAATTATTAGAAATTCAGATGTACCTAAAGCACATATTCCATTCTCCTGGAACATTAGCGTTTCCCACATCTAAATGAACATGCTGGGTTATTCCCCATCAAAATGTTAGTTTGGGCCAACAAGGGTCCACATTCCCGTGGAATGGCTTTATGCTCTATTTAAGTATTTATTGTGTGCCTTGTGGGGTTTCGCTGAGCACCTCCATCTCGTTCCTATGACCTCCTCTATTTTCATCATTCTTCAAATGTTTATTGGGGGCCCATTATCTGCCAAGTCCTGAAATGGGCATGGGAGGACAGCAAAGTGAATATATAATTTTGTAGTAAAGGCTTAAACCTCCTTGTGATCGGTTCTCCATATCACTATTTTTAAATAACAAGATGGGAGACATCAATGCTTCCTGCCAGTCCCCCACTCCTTCTTGCTTTTCTGTTACCCAGGTGGTTGGAGGAGACAGAGATGGGATGGACTGGTGAGTGGAGCCCTAGCTTCTTTGAACCCAGCCAGAAAAAGAAAGAAATGTTAAAAAACAAAAAGCTGCTCTCCCAGCCACTTTGGAAACATAGCCCCAGTATTCAACCATGATGACAGCAACAGGGCCCACGCCAGGGTGCTGCCTGGTGTTCCAGAGGCACCTGACCTTGACCTATGATTCTGGACAGCTCTTGCCCTTGTTCACCACTCAAAGGCAACTAGGCACATTCAAGGTCAGAGTGAACAGACAGCTTTCTCCAGGCAGATAGTTTGTTCCTGGCAGTCTTTCTTGACAGTTCACCGAAGGGGAAACAAATTTGCTGCAGCTCTGGTCAAAATGTTAACCGCTTCAAGCATCGTCGCGTCCTGTTGGCCTCTTCTATTTTCAGACTCTTGCCTTTGTCACCGTAGTTTGAAGTTGTGCGTGAACTTTTACATTTTTATCAGAATCACTGCATGTAGGATGGTCATGGCTTGTTGCATGGTCTTCTAGAGGAACATGGGGGGCCTTCCGGGGTTCGGAGGAGGAACGCAACAAATAGCTTTTATCTTCACATGCTTGGTTTTGTTTACTGTCCCTGGCATGTTGTGTGTGTTCCTAACGCATGCGTTTCACTTCCACTCGGGTAAGAAGAAGCTCGGATTTCTTTCAAACATTGCTGCATTTGTCATATTTCCATATCCTAATGCTTCCATAAATCCAGTCTCTCCATTATGTGGAATATCAGTCGTGGGTTTAAGTTTGCACATGACGTTGAGGACAGACAGACAGAAGGTAAGCTAGGAAACGACTTAGAAGCGGAGGGGAACACCTCCCGTTCGGTGTAAGGGTTCAGTTCACTTAGAGCCAGGAAAGCCCTGATACAGACAGGCTGGTGCGGATACCTGATTATGAAATGTCTGCGTTGAAATCATTTAGGTCCGCTTGTCACAGATCTCTGGCTTTTAATCCCTTCTTTTCTTTTTTTCACGTTTAAAGCCTGGATAGCGTATCTGGTATCCAGACTCTCTTGATCTCTGATTTTGCAATTGGGCTCGTATAAACCAACCTGGCCTCCTTGGGACTGAACCTTTCACACGCATGTGTAGAACTAGCTGTCGAGTTCCGGGGGGTTTTCTCTGGTTGTATGGAGTAGCACAAGGACACTATTTTGTTAAGGGCTGCATTCTTAGATGATGGGTCCGTGTGCAGCTTGACACGCCCCCAACCCTAAAATCAGAGTGGAAGTTATTCTCCAAACTGCAGACTGTCTCTAGCTCCTCCATACTCCCCAAGGCCAATGTGGACTTTTCAGTATTTACAAATTCATGTTGAAAAGCGAGATTGGCTCCCAATCTGCCGGGAAAGAATAACATTTAAAAGTAGTAGGGAGGTCGTAGAGTGAAGCTTGGATCTGGTGCTCCTCCATATAACCCGTGGGGGAGGTTTTCTGGTTCACAGCCTGTTAGCTGGATGCTGATGATAATTATTTTCAGGTGACTCTGGCAGCCAACGGAAAGTCCGCTGACGGCGGAGTTGAGGAAGAGCCGTGGAAACGTGAAAAATAAGGACATGACTCTCAGCAAAGTTTTGAACAAACTCCCCAGCGTATCTTATGGTAAAAAGAGAATATAAACAAGCTGTCTTAAAAAGGAAAAAAAAAAAAAGCATCTATTTCTGTGTTTACTTAATCTGCTAGCCGAGGCTTCAAGGATCTGTCGTGAGTCAGTGATAGGCGCAGTGCGGTGTCTTTGCCAAGTGATGCTTTGTAAATGCCTCATTTTCTCACCTGTGTTACTTTCTGAATGGAGGCTGCTGGAGGAATCCCTTTGAATTGAAGACGCGTTCTGGCCAGCTTCCCTTTACTCTCTAAATGTAGAGCTGCGGATCCTCTTTTCCCAGGGGACACGACTAAAGCATGTGGTGCATCCTGGGGACTTGGGATAAAGAGCAGACACTCAGTGTGTGATTCCTTCAGGTGTCATCCCTGCTTCTGCTTTAGTGCACGCAAGAGATTCTGTTAGAAGCCTCTAGACGTAATTCTCTTGAAATGTCTTAGGGGTGGCTCATGTGTTAATTAAAAGCAAACCCCTGTCTTCGGGAACTCTGAGAATCTACCTTCTGTATACTCTTTCAGTTAAATATTTCAAAGAGAATGGTAGTGGGAACCGTGCTCTTCAAGGCGGCCGATTACGGAACCCACTGAGTTTCTGCTCTGCCATATCCAGTCCTGGGAAATCATTACTGAAATTTCAAAGGAGGTCTCGTAATTTGCTTTCAATGATGATAATGAATTAGGATGTAATCTGCGTAGCGCTGCTGTGCATGTGGACAAATGTGAGAGAGCACAGCCAACGTCAACTTTAACCAGAGTCAAATGTTCCAATTCGGTTGGCATTCACCTGGTAGAGGGAAATCGAGTGAGACGATTTGATCGATGCTTTACTTTCTTTGTTCCAGCCGTAAAATTCTTTTTTGTATATCTAACCAAAAAAAAAAAAAAAAAAAAGACATTTTTAATCGCAAATTATTTCAGTCACAATCTCATTAACCTAGAAGGCCTAACCATTCCACTCTCCTCACGGGTAGAGAGGACAGTTACGCTGGCTGTGCCGCCTTTAAGACCATCTCTCGATAAAAACAAAACACTGTCCATGATCTAGCACATAGAGAGCTTTCTCTTGTATTCTCTCAAAGCACTTGAATCTAGTTACAGGGCACAGTTGAAAGCAGAGTCAATCTGCTTCCCAGTCTTCTGTGTAGCAAGGAATAGGAAACAAACGTGCAAAATCCCATAAAGGTGATATTCCTATGGCAAAGTCAAGATGGCCTTGAGCCATGAAATGGGAGCAGACAATGGCTCCTCACAACTTCAAGATGGCATCTTCAAGGCTGTTACAGTTTGAGGAGTCAGTACTGTAAGGGGATTAGCACCGTGCCTTGTAGGCCGTAGGCACCCAACGAATCCCAGTGGTGGATTGTGTAGACTAAACTTGTCAGTTTCTCTACTATCCTTTTCTGTTGAATAACTCACAGTATTTTCCTAAGGTTGCAGGCTCTGGGAGGTTGCTGGGAACTTGAACCTGAATCACTGAGAAATAAAGTACATTTGACTGACTTCGAGGAGCGTGTAGAAACTTGGTCTATATGTAGGAGTCAGGTGGTCATCAAAGACTGGCAGATGGGTGCTGGGTACATACCAAGAGTTGTACTGTCCAAATGCTCTGAGAAGAGGTTGTACATAGACATCATGGACCCTTTATTGCCCATTCCTGGTGACTTTTCTCTTCCAAACCAGACACCTTCGGAACATATGAGAGACATAAGATTCCGATTGCTTTTGTCTCTCAGACCCTTGTTATTTTTGGATAAGGACCACCGTTGAGCAGTATTAAGCAGCTTTTTGCCTTTTTTTCTTTTTAGTGTCATTGGTCTTCTTCATTTTCATTAGATGAACAGTTAACTGGGTCACCAAGGATGTGTGAAATGCAGTAGTGGACAATAAATACACCCTTTAGAGCCGATACTGTGGGCCAAGGGGACAGGTCCTGGATTTAGCTGTGAAACTGTTATGGATTGTCTTTAAGTGGTGCTCCCAAGAGCTTTGTGATGGAGAAGAGAAGGATCTAGACGAGGCACCAAGGAGTTTGTGGGTTTTGCTGTTTAAGGCCAGCTTAGCTCTTGTAAATGCTGACGTGTTTCTCAAAAGAGTGGTCTTGGGATTGTCTCCCCAAGACTCTGCTTCAGTGTCTTCCTGCTTTGCTTTGTCTTCCTAGTTATCCTATAAAATATATAAGGGGACAATGTGTTCAGAAGAAGCAAGGTGTACAGCTTAACAAAACATGTTTTTCTGGTTTTAGACTACCTGTAATACATTTCATGAGAACATACTTAGGAACTCACTTTCATCTGGAAATTCACATCATATTACAAATGAATAATCTGTTAAAGTCAGGACTAACCCAAAAATCCAGGATGTATGTAGAGCTGACGTATGACTGTGATCTCTATTTTTTTAGGTCTCGTTCATTCTTCTTATGCCATGCCCACTAGGGCTTCCCTTGGCCAGCATGAGTGCCATAAACAGGAAAAACAGATCCAGAGTATACCTCTAAGAACCCTTTTCTAAATAAGATACCCATAATCTTTCCGTTATGTGCACAGATTTATATTAATAGGTTCACCACAGTTGTAAATGCTTGTAACAGTCCATTAATATTTGATGATGCATAAGTTATATACGGACACAGGAGGCCAGATCCACATGCTGCATCCCATAAGGTCTATAAGTCAGGGCTTTGGCAACACCATTTTGTTACAAACTCATTCACTCTTTTTAGGAATCCAAATCATTTTGAGAGAAAAATCAATTAAACAGACTTTCATCCTCCCCTTTATAATTTTTGCCCACAGGAACCCAAGTAGAATCACCGTTTGATTACCAACTACAGTTCAATGAGCCAAATCCAATCAGCAGGAAGAATGGCTTCTCTCTCAAGCTAAGGCTTTACCTTAGGTCTTTGAGAATATGCCTCCCATGTGGAGCATCAAAGAAATCAAGGCAGTCGTCTAGATCACAGAGGTCCAGGTCTTCAGGTAATAAGATCTGAACCACATAGACATCAGATTCAGTTCTTTATTTCCTACTGGGTGTGGAAACACAGCCTGTAGTCTTATTGCCTGAAGAAGTTACCTTGTCCTGTAAAAGACAAGTATTCGCTTCTCCTCTGCAGTATTGGTTGGCGGAAAGAAAGAGTGCCAAATGCCTCAATCTTGGATTTAGACTTGTGGAAACTGAAAAAGGCTTAGGGGAAATTCAATTTATGGGGATATGTATTCCCGGTAGGAAATCTCAGGAATCCGAATGACTGAGTAGAGGGCCTCAGGCCATTTCCAACCTTGCATGGGGAAGTATGTCACTTGCAAGTGTATCTAGTCAAGAAAAACTTTCAGGGTTGAGTAACTCATCTACCCGCTCCCTGAAAGGAAATCCAGTCCTGCCACGTTTTTGCAAATACCACACTTCCTTTTGTTCCCAAAAGCAAACACTATGACAATATTTTACTTTTGTCAGAATCAAGGAATCTATCTGTGCTATAGTTTCCCATGAAATATAGCAGTAAGTCCGAACAGGTACACAAATGCTCAGAGAGAATTTTTCTATGGTTCAGACCCTTGTTGGGAAGGTCTTCGTACCTCTTGCTTGGCTTGATGGCCAAAAGTGCTCAGCAGTTATACCCAATGGAGGTGGCTCTTCTTCCCTGCTTTTTGATTCTAGACAACCATACAGTTGTCTAGGTTGCTGTTTTTGCCTTTCTTATTCTCCAAATAAATTCATCCCAAGGCAAGCAAAAGGACCAAGCAGATTTTTTTTCAGTTGTCATAATACCCACTTGGAATATTAGGGTCACGCTAAGTGTCTTCTTCATCCCCTTCACCTACTTCACCCATCCCCCCACCCACCTCGCCTCTGGCAACCGGTAGTTTGCTCTCTCTATTTTTTCATTTTGTCTTTTTATCTTTGCTCCTTTGTTTTGTTTTTTAAATTCCCCATACGAGTGAAGTCATATGGTATTTGTCTCTGACCGGCTTATTTCACTTAACTTTATATCCCCTCTGAGAACCTAAAAAGAGTAAGTTTAAGCAAAGAAGCTGAAGGAATTCTGAAATGAGAGTTTTGTCAATCTAGTTGCCAGAAATGAGTGGCCTCAGGATCTCTGGTACTTTCTGGATGAAATCTAGAATAAGGGCTATCGAGTGCCAACCCGGGCAGACACCATGGGCAGATTGTTCTCTTTAGGTGAAGCGAGTCCAAAGCTGCTCATGCTATAGCTGCCCGTGGTTTTCCCAAAAGGAAAACCCATGTTCCCGCTCTTCCTCCTCCTTTCTCATTCCACCTGTCATTGTTGCTGCTTGAGAGATCATTTAGTAAAACACCGCATGCGTTAGGGCAAGGGTTGGTTCTAGAAAAGATGACAAGGAATCTTCTTTGAGTACTATCTCATTTCATAGCAGAACACAGTGAATTCACATGATGACACAGGGAGGATGAGAAATAATGCCGTTGGATACAACAAACATTTGACTTAGACTCTGCCAATGTTGAGCTGTGTAACTTAGACAAGTCACTTGATTCCCAAGCCTCATTCTGTCCCATACCTAAAGCGAAGGGGTTGGATTAGGCAATTAAAAACCTCTTGGGGCCCTAAGAATCCATGATATTATGATCTCTGCTTGAATTTCTTTTTTCATAAGAGGCTTACTACTGTGAAGTATGACTTGCTTATATTTTAAGTCAGAGTGGCCCATAATACAGAATAATCAATTTGGATTTTTTTTTTTTTTGTCCCCTTGGGACAATATTAAATTCAAGTCTCTCTCTTCCTTTGATGTTTTTCAACAAGCTTGGAAGATGGCCACGTTAATCTGTAGTTTGGTGTTCTGGGATACAAACAGACATCCTTTGACAAAACGGCCCTTGGCCTCACTCCCTGTCTTAGTAGAAGTTGCCATTCAGCTCAAAGAAGACGGTTGCCAGGGAGGCAGGGGGAGCGTAGAGCCTCCCTCAGGGGCCGAGAATGTTCCTGCTGTAGTAACA